CTGGCCCTCGCTGCTTACTATATGGCATAACTGGATGTGGTACCCTGAGAATCCTGCTATGTCTATTAGAAGGTGACTCTTGAATACTTCTGCTTCCAGGTTGTAGGAGGGAGAGAAGCTAACAGGTGAGGGATCCAGTGAGGGTCAGACACCACTGGAGTAACTCCAGATTTACCCAAGGAGTAGCTGACAGCACTGTTTGACTCTGAGCTAGGAACATTTGGGTTATCAAGTGCTCCAATTCACTGAGATTCTATGACCCAATTGTACCTGTCCTTTGTACAGATTCACAGTTACGAGGGAGGACACGAGAAGGGATAGGCATAACTCCAGGCCCCGCACTCTGCAGAACTCAGGCATTGTACCCAGGGGGTACAGACTGCCCCAAAGCAGGGAGAAGACTGGGGAGGAGGTTGGGCCACGCCCTCCACCCCTGCTCTGGCTCCCAAAGTGGGGAATCGGGTGCAGAGGCTGGAGAGCACCCCTACAAAGGAGTATAGTAGCACGGTGCCCAAAGGAGCTGGGAGAGGACTGCCTCCCTGAGAGGGAATGTCTCCAAGTTCTCCCCCAGAAACAGTGCAGCTCTCTGCTGCCCCTCAATGATCGATAATATTATTTTCGGACCCTCTTTTGGTGTTCTATAATAAAACTGTAATATAGTTAAGTCCAGCCTTAATAGATTTTTTTTTCTTTTTCTGCATTTGTCCTTTCCCCCTCCCTAGCAGTATGATAGCAGCAGCAGTAAACTCCCAGGTAGATTTCAGTTAAATGAAATCTGGATATCTCCCCACAAACCTCCCCATGGCTTTTCAATAGCCTCTAACTAAATCTACCCCTGGACCTGACTGGAGCTAGGACGTCCAACAACCACCTCTCTGCCATGCATCCTGTCGACTCAAGAAATCCTTGACCCTGGCATTAATTCTGAGAGGCTGTATCCAAATGTAGCTCTCCATTGATTAAGGTATGGAAATTTGCACATGGCCCCTACCAGCTTTTCAAAACTTTGTTCTCAGGTAATTGTGCAACATGAATAGTGTATTTGTGTCAAAAAGTAGGATTTTTTACTACCAGGCATCTCTCACTGACTAATAAATGTCAAAATCCCTCTTATTCCTCATTCTCCCTATCCCAAATACACTTTATTACAATGGCTAAGACAGCCATTGAATCAATAGACATGATTTGTTTGTAACTGGTGCAAACACAAATATTAGCTATTTATTGGAGTTAGGGTGACCAGATAGCAAATGTGAAAAATCGGATGGGGGTGGAGGGGGGTAATAGGAGCCTATATAAGAAAAAGACCCAAAAATTGGGACTGTCCCTATAAAATCGGGACATCTGGTCACCTTAAAAAGAGTGCACAAAAAGGGGAGAGTTCAAAAACAAGCATATCAGAACATAAGAATAGCCATGCTGGGTCAGACCACTTGTCCATCTAGCCCAGTGAACCGTCTTCCAAAAGGCATTCCAACGGAATGAACAGAACAAGGCAATTATCAAGTGATCTACCCGTGTTGTCCACTCCCAGTTTCTGGCAGCTGGAAGTTTAGGGACAGACAGAGCATGGGGGTTACATTCCTGACCATCATGGCTAATAGTCCTTGATGGACCTGTCCTCCATGAATTTATCTAATTCTTTTTTGAACCCAGTTATACTTTTGGCCTTCACAACATCCCCTGGCAACGAGTTCCACAGATTGACTGTGTGCTATGGGAAGAAATACTTCCTTATGTTTGTCTTAAACCTGCTGCCTATTAATTTCATTGGATGACTCCTAGTTTTTGTGTTATGTGAAGGGGCAAAAAACACCTCCCTATTCACTTTCTCCACACCAGTCATGATTTTATAGCCCTTTGCACTATCTCTTAGTCGTCTCTTTTCTATACTGAACTGTCCAAATCTTTTTTAATCTCCCCTCCTATAGAAACTGTTCTACATCCTTAATCACTTCTTCTGCCCTTCTCTCCCAATTCTAACATACCGTTTTTGAGATGGGGCACCCAGGACTGCACACAGAATTTCAAGTGTGGGCATACCATTAATTTATATAATGGCATTATATTTTCTGTCTTATCTATCCCTTTCCTAATGGTTCCTAACATTCTGTTTGCTTTTTTGACTGCTTCTGTACATTAAGGACATGCTTTGAGAGAACTATCCATGATGACTCCAAGATCTCTTTCACGAGTGGTAACAGCTAATTTAGACCCCATCATTTTGGGTGCAGTTGGGATTACTTTTTACAATGTGCATTACTTTGTATTTATCAACATTACATTTCATCTGCCATTTTGTTGCCCGGTCACCCAGGTTTGGGAGATCCATTTGTAACTCTTTGCAGGTATGATTCAGATTACTCTTGTAGTTTTGCAGAAGAGCAATCTCGTCAGCACTTTTAGGACAAGACATTCAGAAAGGGCTGCCAGTCATCTCTAATACCGTAAGAAGGAGCAGCGACACAGATACAGGCATGAGCCTTCTCAAGCACAGCACCAGGACACACATGGCAAAGCTGGATTTTAAGGGTTTATTTGAACAGTTACGGTCACATTTTTACTGCACTATTCTGTGCACGTGATCAAAATAGTGTGTGTGTATATATATATATATATAGATAGATATGTGATAACACAGCCTAGGTCGCTTCCCACAGCCATAAGTCATGTATGTAGCATGCCTCTCACTTCACTGGCATACATTACATGTGACCCAAAATGCTACGAGCCCGTCCGGCGAGTGTTCCAGTACAGAACAGTCATACACACTGACCTGCTCACGCGAACATTTCAGAGTTTGGAAGCTAGTGTTGAGGCACTAAACTGCTTTGCAAGTCAGTCTGTGAAACCCTTAGATCCACAACATTCTGCTGCCCTAAAAATTACAATGCCACCGGCAGCCTTCTCATTGTGTACTGTTGGCTTATGTTTTCTGTGACATTTTTACTAAATGCTGCTCCCAAAAAATCCATTATGGAACAATAATTCAGATGATGCGTCTTAATAAATGAGAGGGGTTGCTGCTGACAGACATTATGTACCCCCGCCTTCCCAGAAACTGAATGAATGAGACATGAACCCAGGAACGCATGATAGTTTGAGCTCTACCTTTATCTTCAGGACATCACAAAAGAAAATTTTTGACTGGTGTTAATGTGACACAAGTGGCCAATTCATTAACCTAGAATTAGGGGAATTTTTCATTAAATCTATTCAGTAGGATATGTGAAAATGGTAAGAATGCTCTTGAAATTATTTGAATAAAGGCAAGATGTTCTCCTATACAGACTCTTTCTTGCTACAAACTATTAATAAGCATATTATATCACATCAGGCTCTGAAGGTCAAAGCAATCGTTTCACTAACAAGCACTTACAAAGTTCTATAGAACTGCATTTTTCAAATACATGTGCTCTTTAATGAGTGCAATTTTACATCTGCTCAGGTAAAACTGGTTGTTCTACATTTGTGGTTTATTATATACACTAGCATTTGGCAGAAGAAACTGCTGGAAAGGAAAGACAGGTGCTGGAGCAATAAAAATAGGAGTTCCTGAATGTATTTTTCTTTAGAGTAAAAACAAGGGGCTCGTGAAGCAATGTTCTTCATCGTTTGTTTTCTGAAGTGTCACTGTATCACTTGTCCTGTTATAAAATAGCACTTAGCTGATATAAGAAATGCCATTCCCCTGCTATGCACCTCATTTGTCTGCAATTCTAACACGTACAGGAAAAATGCAAGGGCTGGGATTAGTTCAAAGGGGACACAAACAGTGACTACCATAAACACCATGAGCCAACTTCATCCCTAATATAACTTCACTGATGTTAATGGAGTGAGATACACCATAGATTCATTTGGTCCCATGTTCCTATCAGATGACCAGAAATGCTGCACAGAGCCAACTCCTGTAAGTGGGAGCTGCTAAGGAATCCTATTAGACTCTAATACACAGCAAACTAATCAAGAATAAAATCTCCATCAGTGGGAAAAAGTAGAATGACTATCCAACAGCTGACCAAGAAAACACTGCATCTTTGTGAAAATCACTGTTGTTGCAGCAGTGTCCAGAGGCTCAAATCAGGCATGAAGTCACATTGTACTAGGCCTGGCGCTCTATAGGCACATAGTAGGAGATCATCCCTCCTCCAAGGAGTTAACTGTCTAATTTAAAACTAGAGGTGAAAACGGTAGAACATAAAGCAGTAGGGCTGGAAGGAGGATAGTGAGGGGAGCAGAGCTAAGATTGCTAAGCTGCATAGGTTAGATATGTCTACAATTAGCCTTTATATACATCAATTGTAATGCGGTAGTACCTCACAGTCGCAATCAGGAACCAGGCCTTCATGGTGCTAGGGCCTGTACAAACACACAACAAAAAGAGTGTCACCGTCCCCCAAGAACTTACAAGAGACACAAGTTAAGGAACTTCTAGCGCTGGGTGGAGACACGCACATTATGAGCAGAAGCAGTGCAAACTCCCCACGTAGCCCTACCAAAGCCCCACAAACTAGACCAGCAATACCCCTTATTATTTCAGCCCTAGGCCTCCAGTGAGCAATGCCAATACCCCCCAGGCCTGGCCTGCACCCTCCCACAGTGCAATCCCAGACCCCATACTTCTCTGCATATGCCCCCAGTCCTAGCTTGCAAACACACACACGTGCTACTATTTCAGTTTCAGGTCTCAGGCATCTCTGCCTCCATCCCCACTTCCAGCCTGCAGGCATAACCCCCTGCTATTGCAATTCCCAGGCCCTATACAGTATTGCTCAGCCCCCACCGCGACTCTTGCCCTGCAGACCGTCTCCTAGTGCAACCCAAGGCCCCATACTGCTCCGCTCTACCCCCATTCTTCGTTTGCAGCCACCTCTACACTGCAACCCCCATACTGCTCTGCCCTGGTATTGCAACGCTAGGTCTCCTCCAACCCCTCTGAGCGCGCGCTCCTTGGAGGCGAAGTGCCCCGCCCCGCCCGTGCCCAGGGGAGCTGCTGCCCGCCCACCCCGGCCCCTGCGGCGCGCGGAGGCCGTCTGCCTGTCACGTGGTCCCCGAGCTGGGCGCGGGCCGGAGGGGCGGAGCCGCTTGGCCGGGTTGCCCGGTAGCGCCGTGGCCATGGCAACGTATGTAAAGCCCGCGAGGGGGACGCGGGGCCGGGCCCTGACGGGAAGAGGAGACGCGACGGGAGGAGGTGGGGGATGGGTAAGAGCGGGCTCCGCGGGGGCCGGGGAGCTTGGATCCGTCCCCCCCCCCGGG